ACCTTTCCTTAGCTGGATACCGTAGCGAAAAAAAAAGTCTAGCAAGTCCAATCCTACTTACACTCTAGTTCGCTGCGGACGGTTGGGCGTGTCAGGCAGTATGAGTGTGTCACCCCGTCAAAGCCGTTCTCTGCCTTCTTGTTGAAGCGCGCATGCGACAAAAAGTGGTAGAAAACGAGTAATACGAACGATATGATACAGTCATATCATTTGCTCGCTTTAACAACTGGTGGAGAACGGGTTTGGCACCGCGCCAAACTCATCCCGCCTGACACGCCCAACCGTCCGCAGCAAACCACACTATATAGACCCCCTCATTCTCAACTGTCGTGGCGTGAATCGTCATCAAAATTTCGTGAAAGAAATAGAAGAGCACAACAAAACGTCAGATGGCTCGGAAAGTGGTATTTACTCACCTATTAGGCACTTCAGAACCAACAATATCCTCACGATTCAGTATTGTTGGTCGTTTAATGGAGCCAGATCCACTTGAAGAAGATGAATTCTCAACAATAACAGAACGAGAAGTACGAGGTCGAGTAACAGGGATAGGCTCAGCGCCGACGGCTTTGTTGTACGACAGCGGACGATTGTTGCCGCTTTCTGGTCGGAATGTCTGAATGGTCGTTTGAAGTGCGAGCCGTATTATGAAATTACAGTAAAACCAATTACGAGGAACATACAAGTGGTGGAGGCCGTTGTGGAACATTGAATAAAGCACTTATCATCTCGCCATGACTTCGAGAAATGCTGCTGGGAAGGGATTCATCCTGATACTCATCAAAGGAGTCATCAGACTCTTGAGCTGGCGTAGGAGACATCCCGAACGACTCGTTCAAGTCAGCGGATATCAACGACTGACCTGGAACCACTGAATAAAAAACAACTCAAAACAATCTAGGCAGCGTAGCCCAGTACTACCATACAACGACTAGCATCATCCTTTATACACCTGCACTATATATCCTAAAAATGGGAAGATTGTTGCTGCGTTCTTCTTCTGACATACCTGGAAGCAGGGCACATCATCGTTGGGGATTCCCCAACCAGTGGTCGTTTTCGGTTGCTGGGAGTGGGGGGGGGTCGTATCTGGATTGGTTTTTTGTGATAGTCCATTTTTCTTGTTTCCCGGACGCGATAAAGGAGGGGGGAGGGGGGAGATGGTCTTATTTTCCAGTTGCTGGGAGGGAGAGGGGTCGCATGTGCTTTCTGAGAGAAATTTGCGGCGTTGGGAAAAAATTTCCCGGTTCTTGACTTTTCGTGGTTTTTCCTGTTTCACTGTTTCATGTACTATATGCCTGGACAGCAAAAATTTGGAGAAAAAGTGGGAAGATTTTCTCTGGAACTTTTGGAAAAACTGGTAGGAATATCGGAAAATCCGAGGAAATGGTAGGTAGACCGAAGAAGAGGGCTGTATTTCTCTCGCGCGGGCTTTTCCCGTCTACGCCGCACAATATACCCCCGCTCCACAGCTTGGTCGATCGAGAGGAGGGAATCTAGGGGGGGGAGGGTGTGATTCAAGCCACCTTCCAGAGTGGGGGTCCTATGGACTCGTCCAAAATCTCCAAATAATGATGTGCCCTATGTAGACTGCGTTTTTTTCTGTGGGATCTTTACATTTAAGAGAGCTATCTTCTTTCTGGGCTGGACAGATAGATTACCACAATTGCCCTGAAACAGCAATGTCCCACCAAAAGCACTGCCATAAATTACACAGCCACGCCCACTCTATCTTCGGGATATGGAATGTATGCGCGACTTTGCGGAATTATGCAATCGATAGTTATTGGTTATAATATATATAACCTATTCCTTCAGTTTACTTTCCCTTCGTTATGAGTCCATGAGATTAAAAGGTAGACAAAAAAATGAGACAAGGAAAACTGGAAAATTAGAAATCGCAGGACCAGATCATGTGTTAAATTCTCGCACAGAGAAAAAGAAGTCAGAAACGAGCGGCAATAAACTGAAGAGCAGGTGCACAGAACTTACTCTGAGTATAACTCGAGTCATTCTTCGCTGATGTAGAGGTGTATGCCAATTCCGCATCATGACAATCATCACTAAGATCATTCAAAGAGCCTAAATGTGTGCAAAATTACTTGTTTCTCAAAGTGGGAAGAACTCTAAAATATAAAATATCCTCAATGACCCACCAGTCTTCGGCTGCACATACGGTGGTGGAGGAGCGCGTTCCTTCGGCCTGCCCCGAGGTGATGTTTTCCACTGTGGTACATTCCCGGTCTCAAGTCTAAGGTTGGCATCTTCAAATGAGGTAATGTTAAGGAAAAGATTTGTAAAAGAAACCTTTCTTTGGATTGAGCAGGCTTTGATAATGTAGTAGAATCGGTAGAAAGGTTACGCGAGTGCTGTTGGCCATTAGATCCACTGCTACTGCCACTGTGACTGTTGCTGGACACCACGGGGCATCCGAACAGGCGAGGAGCATTCTTCA